GAATGGATTCATACAAAATTCCTAAATAATGAAAATGTTTATAAATTACAATATACTGTATAGTACAGTACATGAATACTGTATACAGTTCAGTACAGTACAGTAACTTGTATTACTTTTATTAGTGGTCTAAATTATATTTAATTTTTAAAAATATGAATGTAAAATTTAATTTAATTTAATATAAGCTAGTCATATCATCTCTAAGGAGTAGTCTGATAATACTTAAATGTAAATAGTTAAAAATTTATCAATATTAACTTTAACAATTTTATGATGCCATTACATTTATTTATAATTAAATATAAAAATCTATATTTACTTAATAATATAATATGTATAATATTATTATGTTGAGTCAAATTTTGCATTTTTAATTATTTTGTAGTTAGCCATTAAAATGTTTGTAATATTACAAATCCATAATAAACATCCTGTTTACTTGATAGTTATGAGCAATGAAATTTTATATAAATAATTCCTTAATAATGCACTGTAATTAAAGTAACTATTAGGAAGCTTATAATTTAGTTAAATTTAATTTTACTGTAAATTTAGTCATTTAGGTGTCAAATGTGAACATTAAAAATTAATTTAGCAAATATTAAATATTAAATACAAAACTGGGACACACCTAATGATGATATCGGTGAGGGCAGCCTTACTGCCGCTGCCATAAGACATCTTCATTGCCGACATATTGCACTCGACTTCGTCGCCGTCACTCTATATACCCGTCCATTGCATCCATATATACAAGAAATTAAGAGAAAAAGGAAAATGAGATTAAAATAAATGGACGGAAAACATAGCAAAACTAAATGAGTAAATGAAGCAAACGGATGGACAGACATCGTAGAGGACGTATTGGGGGTATTGCGACCGCAATATGAAACCGGTGTCACGTCTTGAGGGCTTGTTTTTGGCCCTCACGGCCGCCGCCAACATATTTAACATTTCTCACTGGTTTTTAATACTTAGTTCTTGTCGTCCAAAATAGTTATCACTAATTCATAGACACTTCGCGTTTGTAAAACAACAAACTTTTATCTAATTATCCGAGTCTATAGTTTACATAAAATCTTCAGTAAGTTGTAAATATATTATGTCAAAGACTAGTCCTAATATTCATTATTGTTAATATTGTGTGAGAATCACTGAATATTTAATACAAAACTCTAATACTATTTGTAGCCTAAATTAAACGATATATTAAACACAACTTTTGATTAAATATTCACTATATTAGAGATCACTTTGTTTTGTAAATTTTATTCAAATATTATGAATTTTTATGCGAAATTTCATATATTTTTGT